TCCCCACTCCATCTCTGTCACTCTTGTCTCAAGTGTGTCTAAACCAGCTCTCAGGACTGTACAGTGGAAATCTCTCCTAGTGAATGCTGTGCTACTCATCTTTCAGATGAGACATGAAATTGAAGCACTGAGTACAGAAAAACATAGCATATTTCGCAAGAGGGGAGGGATGTTAGTCCTGGTCTTCTGGCCATCTTCCAGCATGGGTAATTACATTTCTACCTAGCTAAAATTCTCCCTGCCCTACAGTTTTAATTGGACAGTACTTTCTTTCTTGCTTGTCTGCAATCCCAGGTTGGGGTCAAGCCCCCACTAGCTAATTCAGCAGCCCTATTTTCAGCAGAGCCACAGAGGCATTTCCAAAAAAAAATATGGTATTGTTTGCAAAGATAGGAGACATCATACCAAATAGCCTGATCTGACAGAGCCCGAAGTAAAGAAATCCTCTTTTGGCTTTTGGACTCCCTAATGTTAAGGACCCTTAAATCAGCATGTACACACCCAGCTCTGCTTTGCAGTCCCAAAATCTCCAACATAAGCAACCCCATTCAGATGGCGACACTTAATGAAGGTGATCTGATTGCCCAAATGGGAAGTATCCAGAGGCACCTATTCATTTAGGCATCTTAGCTGGTGTGCGTGGCTGACATTTTGGAAGGTACATAATGGTATCTGTACATTCAGATCTCGTATACTCAAGAGCTTCAGTCACTGGAACTTTAATATAACAACCCTTTTTAAAAAATATTTTTGGCCCAGAACTTTTAAGTGGCTCCGTTTGAGCTAACCAAGACATAAAACTCTGACTGCATGAGAGAGACACCCTTGCCGTAAAGTATTTAGCTGTATGCTTACCTCCAATGGGACGTTCATTAAGTTTAAAGTGAAACATGATTTAATGGCTTTGGTGAATTAGGCTTAAATTAATCAGTTTTGCAAGAAAAAGGTGTTTAACCATCTGTAGAGATCCATAACCTACTGAGTCAGAAGAGACTTATAGGGTTGACAGGTAAAGAATATTCTTGCATAAATTCTGCAAGGAAACATCTTCACAAAACTTTTCCTATTAATATTGTTCCAGGGAGAAGCAGCTTTTCTTGATGCCATGAAGTATTATTTGGTCTCCTGAAAAGCTTTTGCTTAATTTGTGTATATAGTCCACTTGGAAGGCCATAACTAATGGGAAACATTCCCAGCAACCACGCAAAAGATTTGTTTTCCTTCGCCTTTAAATGAAATATCAATGGATGGGTATTTTATTTTTAGTTGAATATGAAATTTCACAAGCAACCTGTCAAGCTCCTGTTTTCAAGAATGACTTTATTTCACACGTCAAGACAGGCTGGGAAATTAGTTTTTCCCACAGAGGACTCTGATTAGGGATTACAAAGTGAGTGCAGTGCAGGGTGATTTTTCCTCCATCTTTTCGCTCACTCCACCAGCCTGGAGAGCACCTGACTCTGCTGACTAAGGGGAGCAATTCATTACCGCGCACGGGAGGGGGACGGGAAGCGAGATAGTCATATTAAGTAGACTTGCTGGCCCAAGAGAGAATAGGGAAAGCATAATAATACTTAGCCCTTATATTATTCTTTTCATCAGTTGATATCAAAGCACTTGAAAAAAGGAGGTTGGTTTGATGGGAAAGGAGATAAATGCCAATTTCAAGTAGCCTATTGCAGAGGCACCAGCAGGAACGCTTACTTTCATGAGAGTCTCTTTTGACTGTGGGTCTGCCAGGTAGAGAAATAAACAGGTCCTTCCCTCAGTAAAATGCAGTATTAACACTCAGATCTCAAAGTACATTTCAAATGTTATTGACTTACCCACCCTAACTCTCCTTGGAGTTAGGGAAATACAAGGTCCAGTCCAACAACCAGAGTGAGCAAGAGGGAGATTATATATTACTAATAAATGACCGAGCAGACAGGACCTATTGCCTTTGTCAGCAGACAGCGGCTGATTTACACCACCGCTTAACTGCTTGCGGAAGCAATAAATCATTCGGATGAAGGGCTCCACAGTTTTTACCCCATGGAAAATCTGGCCCATTCTGGGGCATTTCTAATGCTATGCAGTGGATAGTGGGAGTCACTGGGGTAGAAAGCAGCCCTGTGCTGCTGCAGATGAACAGCACCGTGTGGCTCCTCTGCTAAAAATCCTGCACTGGTGATCTGATGGAGTTTACTGACTGATTTCCTGTGGGCCACGTGGAAGGGCTGCACATGAGGAACCACGCACAGAAAGCATCAGTCCCAAGGTCAATCTTCATATTCAAAAGCAATGCAGCATCTCTACTGCCTATATATCTTTAACCGCTTACAGGCGCATCTCATTGCACAGCACTCTTAAATAAAACGCTCCTTTTTCTCCTCTTTCTTTATAGTACATGCTCTAACTTGCTTCTGTTTGCCAATGGCCTTTCCGCCCTGTGTGTATGATAGTGATGTTCAAAGATACCCAAAGTCCTGCTGTGACAGGCAACCCAGAAAAATATCTCATCAGAGGCATTCTTAGATCCTATTGGGTCAAACGGCTGCGGTGCAGTCACTACGACTCACATCAGGAGGGAAGAACATTCCAGGGGCAAGAACGTCATGTGGAGGTTACCCATGTTTTCATGATGCCGTCTACAATAATAACTTGGTTTTCAACAGTGTGAGGCATCAGCAATTTCCTGAGGCATTTCTCTGGCCCTAAGACTTCCAGGGAAAATAGAGATAGAAAGAAAACCTACTTATTTACACTTCTCTGTCCTGCTAGATAGAGCGGGCGGCATCTTCAAAACCCATTTTCAGAGGTAAATACTCATTCTCCTGATTTAGTTTCAAAATACTCCATGCTGCATTGTGCCCACCGTGCTGCAGCCTCCGCTCTGCAAATCACAACAGCAGCTCTGAACAGCCCAATCTGCTGTGGACCAGTGCCTCCTTCCAATGCAGCTGCAAATAGGTTTAAATCATTAGATTCAGGTTACCAAACAGTCTCTTGGATCAGGGTTAATTAAATGAGTGTTGAAATCTAATTAAGGACTGGTCCAGGTGATAATTAGCAGGAAATGTATGCATTAAAATATTCATTTGTCGATGAGCTGCAATTAAGAGTGTGATTTGGGGAAGGATCAATAACTACATCATGTGATTTTAAAAAAAATGAAAAGTCATCCAGCCTTGAGCAGAAATGCAGGGAAATATTGGCTAGTTTTTTTTCTTTTCTTCCACCCCCTTTGCTTTCTGTTTTGCTCTCATAATAACTTCTGAAGACTGCTCTCCACCCTTGAATAGAGCATTCATCTTTCCATCCCTTTGTTTTCCTGTAGCACTTCTTTCAACCCCCTTGCTCTTCACCACATTGTTCGAGTGGGTTATAGATTTATTTGAGAGAGACTAACAGGTCAAAAAGAAAGATTCTTTGCCAATGAAAATCACTTCCTCCCAGAACAGGCTGCTAATCCATGGGAACATCGCTCATTGTGTGGCCTTACATTGTTTGGTTTTTTCTAGCAAGTTAATTCCTCAAGTCTTTATTCATAATGGACGATCCGGAGAAGCTATTGAATATGCATAACTTGGACATATATATAAGTACATCCATAGCTGTGGATTACTGCACTGTTCCAAATTTGTAGCAGAGCAGTATTGCTTTCACTGAGACTATTTTTTCCTGATTACAGGTACATAGGTGTGTGTGTAAGCCAGTTAACCACACTCCTCCTGTGCAATCCCACCTCTGCCAGAAAAACAAGGTCCCCACAGTAGCCCAGCTCCTCTGGCATGGAGCTGATTTTCCTCTACTGCCATGGCCAGAGGCTGAGCTGCCAATTTCCCCGCTGACTGCATTTCCATCAGCAAATACCGGTGTGCTAAAGGGAAGCATATCACGGGAACACGGTGATTGCAGCTGCTCTTTGTCAGTCCCCTGACAGCTCACTTGCCCATCTCTCCTGGCTCAATGGCAGACCATCTCCAGAGGCAATAGTCTGTCTGCTGCCAGGGGTGCTGCTGGATCCTCTTCCCCTGCACTCCTCTTCCCCCACGCTGTGGGAAATCAACTAGCCCATGAAGTTAGGACATCCTTGGAGCCAGACGAAAATGTATCAGTGCCTTCCTTCCTAAGCAGATATATTTTTTCCCATCTATGCCTCCTATCAGAAATTTAAGAATTGCAGTCACTGACCTCTCAACTCATTTTGGGGAGGAGAGAGATTTCCTTCATTCCCAAAAGCTCTGCATTTTTCACGGACTTCTGCAGCCAGCTTTGATGATCATCTGTAGTTCTGCATCAGTGTTGACTGCAGACATAACCCAAACACAGTAAAACTTGCCCAGAAAAGTGTAATATTAAATGTTCATGGAGAGGAAACTCAGGTTCATCAGGTATTATTTTTGCTTCCCTAATTTAACCATGCTGAAGAGATGCTGCTTGGTGATAAGACAGACACCCTGCCCAGTATAATGAATCCTGTCTCCAATGATTTCTCACTGCACATAGAGGTTACAAGAGATGGGAGTGTGAAATGGTGATCCAGCTCAGGGGGTCTGGCATGCACAGGTCTAACACATTCCACCAAAATAAGTAAGTTCACAAGTCCCACCACATTCACCCAGCAAAAGATTCTCCAGTTTGCTGCACTGAGCCCAGATCTTTGCTCTCTGGCAAGGACAGCCTACTGGGTCAGACGGTTTTCTCCACATCGAAAGAATAAGGCAAAAACTTTCTCAGAGACAACATTTATGACACCCTGGAAGTTTGAAATTTGGAGGGAACTAGGAATTGAGCTGCCTTCCTCAGCTGTCCACCCTCCAGGGTCCTTTTCTTCCTTCCTGTTGGTCTCAGCCTCTTGCAAAGGTCCCATTCAAAAGGCCTGAGAGATTGTGTGGGAAAAATCAGCTTCAGTTGGATCCCACACTACTGAATCTGTGTTAGTTGTGTGGATTGCATGACCCAGTGTGTGCCTGGCTAATTAATTTGTGTGTCCCCTTTTGTCTGCTGTCCTGCAGGGAGCCTCTTCAAGCCTGGTGGTGAAGTTTGCGGATACGGACAAGGAGCGTACAATGAGACGCATGCAGCAAATGGCAGGACAAATGGGCATGTTCAACCCCATGGCCATCCAGTTTGGAGCGTATGGCGCCTATGCACAGGCAGTAAGTATAGACACTGGCTCTATGCATGCTCATGGGAACAGGGGTAGCACCTAGAATGGCACAAAGCACGTGTGAGCAGAACAGCCGAGCAGAGGAGGAGCCAGAGATTTCTCCATTTAACCAGTTAAAACTGTGGGAGCAAACTGAGCCATGCCACCTGCGGCAGGAGTGGACATCTACCTCAGAGGTGCAATACCTGCTTTTAGCAGAAACCAAACTGTGGTCATGTGTGCACCCATGCAAGACACTTCATATGGACTTTAAGTCACTGCTGTCAAATGCAAAGACAGACAACACTTCCGTTTTGGATAAAATAGGTCCTGAATTCAGCTCGTGCTAGTTCTCTGTCCCATGTCAACACCTTCTGGCACTAGAAAAGGTTTGTGAGGGCGCAAATGTCTTTCTGGCCCTCCTCTGCTATAGGCCACATAGACTGAGTTAAGCAGGGGTGATGGCTCTCTGCCTCCTCTGGTGAGGCCTCTGCTGCCCCACGCATTATGGGTGTCTTTGGGGTGGTCACTGAATAAAATGGCAGCCATTGACAGATGTGCTTTTAGGTTCGTGAAAGAACACTAGATAATACTAAAATGGACAAGCAGGCATATGCGGATATACAAACCTGGCTCCTCAATACAGTATGATTTAAGGGCACTGGGAAAGTGCATCAACTATTTAAAGTAGTGTTGCACTGTTATAATTCAGGTATCCTGCTTACATACCTGACTCATACCCTAGGCCCCTGAGCAAATGTGACTGTAGAGGGAGCTGGGGTCCTGGGAAAGCCCTGAAATGGGTCTCTGTGGCACAACTACCTTTCGTTAGGCTACAATTAAGAAGGACCTGCAAGACAAGATCAGGTTCGGGTAACTTGATTTCTGAGAGATACTTTAGGGGAAGTTAGAGGTAATCCCTGCAACAGACACAAGACTGTCAGATGACTTTGGCTGCCTTCACTGGAGCAGATAAAAAAGGAGCATTTGCAGGCAGTGACACTGCATCCAGATGTTTCATTCATTCCATTTGGTGGTAAAACCTGGTCGTCTTGTACTCTGTGCTAGATTTGTGTGCAGGAAGGAAGTACTATTAATCCCATTTACCAGAGTAACATCTTCTGAATGAGAGTGTCCAAAAGATTTGTCTTAGGTGATATAGAGCCAACTGAGGAACCACATTCCAGAGTACCCCTATTCCCTCCAGCACACTGACCATGAGTCTCTGCTTTCTTCCCTGCCTATTTCGTTCTCATACATCAGCACCATGGACTTCCCATCACATCCACATGACCTTTTTCTTTTTAACTTAAAGACCTAGAAATTTCTGTCCTCCACTGAGTGTCATGTGCCTCACTGGATACTTGGTATATCCCAGTTTGTCCTCTGAATGGGCTATATATAGCCAGGTTGTACCCCCCGGTGCTATTATGAACATATTTTATTCCCATCCCACTGAACACACTCCATTTTTCCCTATTCATTTTTATTCCCAATCAAAGAGAATCTCTGCCTCTTCCTTTGTCTCTGGCTCCACTCCTCACACAGGAGAAGAGCTGTCCCCTCCCCAGCCTGACTGTGTCTGACTGTCCTCCTGGCTGGGGAAGGCTGCAGGAAGGGGAGAAGAGAGAGTAAATCACAGCTGAGCCCCAGCCTGTGGCCAGCAGCCTGGCAAGGGGATGCAGCATTTGTGCCCCCATGCACCAGAGGAGTTAACAGGAGGCAACCCATGGCCAGCTGGGGACAAACATCTGCAGAGGGTGTCAGACAGGAGATGCTGTTCCAGAGTTGTGTTACACGTATTGATCAGACAGCTGGAGAGGCAGTACAGACACCACTGTCCTGATGCTCTGGACCAAAAACTCTTCTCACATTATTTTTAATTCTTCTAATTGCCATGACAATAGAGTCATCTCAGGTTTATAATGATAGAAAAGAGGATGAGGTCTGCATCTTTGCACCACAAAAGTTCCCTCCATTTATTTCTCACCAGATAATACATTGTGACAGCAGGTGCTTGAGTGAGGATTTATCCCTGAAGAAGACTGAAAGCAATTTCTGGGTCTGCTCCCACTCTGCTTGAAACTAATGAATATTTTTCCTATTGATTTCTGTGAAAGCAGAATTGGACCCATCCTCTTTTTTTCTGGTAAATATGCTAATAAGGGGGAAAGAATAAGTTTTAGATCTTGACCCATTGGATATGACAAGCTGGTGACACCAATTACCCTGGGGACTTCAGAGCTGTCTAAACGATGGGATCACATTTCCGTGTGGTGCCTGTACACCCAGAGCATGCTCAGATGCTGTCTCTCAATCAGCCTCCCTATCTGTGTCTCTCCCTATCTGCTTCATCTCACAGTCTTACACAAAAGGGAAGGAAGGGAGTGCCGAGGCGCTGTGACGTTCCCCCGGTCCCGATTAATCCACCTTGGACTGCTGGCTCTTAGATATCAGAGTGATTGGCACCTTGCAAATGCCAGTGGGAGATGCAGCGATCAATAGGGGGAGAGGAAAAGGGGGGGCAGTTTTATTCAGCCCGAACCTAAGTTGAAGAGCTAAGGCAAGTCAAGAGGAGGGAAGGTGAAACAGTGAAAATGCAAGAGCAAGACAGCGGTGACAGCTGATGCCACTGCCACCAGCAACTTGTGTGACCTTGGGTGAACTGTTTGACCCCCTGGTCTCATTTCTCCATGTACAAATAAAGCTGATGATCAGGCATTTATTTTCCCTTCTCCCTCAGAGACATGGCTCTCTCTCGTGCTGTCTCTTCATGGTTTTTCACAGAGGGATATGATGGTAACATGAATTTAAGAACTGCCTCAGTGCTTAGTAGTAAGGCCAGGACTAGAGACTAGGCTCTGTGATTTGTGCTTGTAACCTGTCCTCCCAGCTACTTCACAGCAGCACAAGCTTTACTGATGTCTCCATAAAAGAGTTCCCAAGAAATCCTGTGAGAACTGGTTAATCAATAGTTTCTAATGCTTTGTCCTCATGGAGGAGGTAGCCAAGTCCCCTAGGCAATGATTTCTTGCTGAATCTCCCCCAGAGAAGCATCATGCACAGCACCAGGACCGGATTAGCTCCTGCAAAAAAGGTCTCCATGCATCAAGGTGGCCAGTGCACCAGAAACCCACACAGTGCAGCTGTTTGAGGGATTAGTGAGCAGCAGTGGATGTGCAAACTCAGCAGCACCACTGAGGAGAGATGGCGAGGGTCTCAGTCCATCAGTGTTTGACTGATAGTTGTTAGTGTTGCCACTAGGACTGCTTTGGGTCCCAGCTCCTCTTTAAGTCACCTCTTTTGCAGCTCAGCAAATGGCCATGTCACAGTTCACTTCCTGCTGCTGCTCGCTGCCAAGCCACTCAACCCCATCTTAAACAACTTTGACCTTGGTAGCAGCAATGGCCTCATATCAGCTAAGCAACTTCGGCAGCCATATGGCCTCAGATCCAAAGGTAAAAAAATCAAGGAGCAAAGGGAAGTTCTCCTCTGTGAATGGTTTTTGCCTTTCCTCCTCATATGCCAACTGCAAGCACACCAGAAAAGGCTTGGCACTAACTCCATGTGCCCTTTCAGAGGCACAGAAAGTCACATCAGATTCACCTCACCTCTTTTCTATGCAGCTCAAGGGAGGTCAGGTTTCACAGCTACCTAAAACTGCCAGAAACTCATTTGTTTCAGGGTTTGGGGTTTTATTATTATTTTAGCTTTTTTTCTTTTCAGTAAAAACGTCCCATACTCATATAACTTCCACTTTTAAGGGATAATTACTTATGTTAGTTCACAGATGTATAGGGCACCAGCCCTTTCTATTGTCAGGTTACTCTGGATCTACATTGGTAGCTGTTTCTGCAGTCTCAGTTCAGGCCAGCTTGAGGTGCAGATCTGAACTCAACACAGAGAGAAGAGGAGTGGTGCTGGGTGGCACCATCTTTGTTTTGCTGCCAGTTGAGAACAAACCCACAGGCACTCAGTCCTGTTCAGAGTAGCACAGCATACCTTCTCAATCCCTGGTAAGCAAAGGGGTGGCCAAGTCCAAAATCATGAGCAGTAAAAATCAAATCGGACTACAAATGGTGGCAGTATAGCACTGGCCCAAATAAGTAACAGTGGCAAAAGTCCCTGCAGGTTTTTCTATGAAGAAAGTGGCAAGTGGCCTGTGGCTATCTCGTGTCACTGCTGCCCCACCATGCAGAAAAAGAAGTGTGCACAGACCGAAAAGGGTCAGGAAGATGGGAAAATGCAGAAGAGCAAAGCAAGAACAAAGGAAAGCCTTGGAAAATGACAGATACTGTATAAATTATTTATTTTTTAAATTATTTAAAATAAGATCAAAGTCATAAATCAAGTTTGCATAAAAAATGGGGTGGGAGTGTTAGCCACGATTTCCTGGCCAAATTGCAGCCATGGGACTGATTGCATCCTGCAGCAGGGAACAGGCATAGAGGCAGCGTGTAAAAACAGACAGACGGGGATCAGGGCAACACAGGCAATGCCAACATTTGCTCTCCAGCCTGGAGCAAGTCCCTTCCCGTCAGTAAATCCCAGCTCCCTTCACTCTGAAAAAGTACAAATGGCTGCGGGTCCTGAACCGCAGACAAAAACTGCAGCAAAGATGGGAACATCCAGCACTGCATAGCGCTCAGTCATTGTCATGAGTGGTCACCTTGGGAAGCGAGGGCAGCGGTGACTACCGCACTCGCCACAGAAGCCTTGGTGCCCCCCTCTGCCTCCCTGTGCCAGCTCCCGTGGAGATGAAAGGATAAATGTTAAATGGTCTGAGGTAGCGCTGAAAAGAAGAATCGGTTCTTCCAATATTTATGCAATTCATATTGCAAAATTATTTTGGAAAGCTACTTTAAAAAATTCAGCTAGTCCTGTGGTATCAGGAAATCACTTGTTCTGATCTGTTCCAGAAGAGGATTTTGAATCCATAATACTTGTAGCAGGGCTAATACCATATTTCTGATCATCAGCTCCCTGGTAATTCAGTAATAATGAACACTG